TGACTTTGCGTTTTTCCTTTTCAATGAGAGCAAATTTGCGATCGCATGGTAGAAACGAATGACCTCTTTCAGGAAATCGATGGTAGATCATTTTAAATCTTCCAATGGCGACCAACGAAGATAACATCTGAACAACAACCATGTTTTTATTTTGCCCAACACAGTTATCAGTGAATAAGTACAAGGTCTCAACTGAAGGATCAACAGCATTGTCTACATAATGTTTCAAAAAAGATACTGTCTCATTTGCACCTTTTTTTCCTTCGACTTCATTGTACATGTACATATAAGAATGGCCCCTTTTTGCCGAGTAAAAACACTGGTTATAAACCCAAAGCTGCCTTTTATAAAAAATATCACCTATTGGAAGTACAGGTACTGGCAAATTTTGTTGATAGTCAAAGCTAATAAAATCCATTTTTTCGTCCGTTTTAGCTTGTTCACTGAACCGCTTAAGGTCGTCGTAAAATTTCTACGCTTTGCTTGATGTAGAGAGTGTTCTTGATTCAACCGAGATTTTTCTTCTGGATTTTCCGCCGCATCTATTTGATTCTTGAATCTGTCACATGCATTGCAGACGTCCGTTTTAGGTTTTCCAAATGAAAGATTAAATTTGGTGTTAAATATGTGTAGATAAAAATCATAGTTGATTTTAAATTTTGTTTTGTTATCAGCCTTCCAATGTTGATATTTCTCCGGTTCGTACTGCTATTTCTGGTGTAGTGCGAGATGCGAATAGGAAATGAATTTATATGTGATTCAATTTGTCGGATTAGAGCTTCTGGTTTTTTAAGTACCCTGGATCGTTCAGATAAACCCCTTTTGTCGGTCGGAGGAGCCGAGTTACTTTTTTTAGCTTGCCCAATTTGATCAATCCTACCAAACTTTATACCATAAAGCCCCGCTAAAGCTTTTTTGCAAACCATTAGTTCTCGTCCAGCTGCCAATATGATCTACAATACAAAATATTGTTAAATACCTACTATCAGTAAATAAGTATTTGCATAACAACTAACCTTATAATGAAAGGATGAGTTTCGTTTTGATGTTTGAATTAACTCAGCATCAGTTAAAATATCTTCAATCGGATGGCCCTTTCCATAAAGTCGCTTTTTCATAATATCTGGTCGCCTTCTAAATAAATGAAAAAAAATTAAAAAATTACCTATTTGTTTCTTTTGTTACTTATATTCACGTACCTTGCAACAGGCCTCACTGTTATTAATCCAAAAAGATAGGAATCTTGCACATTTTTGTCAGCCAAGTTGTTAAATTTATCAAGAATGTTTGCTTTTTCTTCGACTGAGATTTTACTTGTACATCTATTTTTGCAGTCACATTCATAACCCCGCCTTGCAGGCATATTTTTTCCGGATTTAGATGTGTACGTTAGTCCTTTATTGAGGTTAGATTTCCTTTGAACACTTTTCCAGAGATGTTTATTTTTTTTTCTTTTTCTTGTTTTATTCTCCTCAACTTCATTATTACTATTAGCACTATCACTATAATCTGGGTCTAAATCATCCCTCATTACCTCGGTATCACTGTCACTAGACATCATGAAAATGCTAGCAAATAATAGTCAACCAGTGAAAAACAACAAAGCAGTAACAAACACTCTAGAGACTTCACTTAGAATGAAAACTGGGTAAAAACCGGATATACCGAGTTTTCATTCTCAATGACAAAAATGGATATATATTTGCGCCATCTACTGGTAAAACTACTAAGCGGATATGTTCAATTCTCACTCTAATACGTGTATTAGGTCTACATGATTCGAATCGCGCAAAAACCAGATTTTCGTAAAAAGTGGTTTTTACCGACTTATCATTCTGGGCTATTCAATTGTTGGTCCCTCTATAACCTGGAAAGTACTGCTCGGATTTGGATGAAATTGTTGCACAAGGTTAATACTACGCCAAGGATTAGATTATAGCCTTCTCGAATTATTTAAGATTATAACTATATAATATACCAAGAACTTATTCAAACCATCACCTAAATCAAAATTTGAATGTACTTTGGAATATAAAAATAAGAGTACCGTATTTAAAAAGATTATACCATCGTCACATTTTCTACCAAACAGAAGGTCGTAGTGAAAGTACGGCAGCACTATCCTGTTTAGCTTACAAGCTTACTCTACAGAGTGGCAATGGGAAAGCGTTTTATTTTTTGATATCTATGAAATTAAGATTCAAAATAGATGACAAAATTGATAAACCTAAGTTTGTTCCAATTAGCGAAATCTAAATAATAATAAAACAATACTGACTAACTCATTTGATAACTATTGTAACTCCAACTGTTCAAGGGCGGATTTAGGTAATTTTTCAACCTCAGCGGAACTTCTAGAATGTATCCTATTATTGCCCATTAAATCCATTGTGTTCTATCTGGTCAATGTCAGCTTTAAACAAAATCATGGAAAATGCTCAGAGTATCTGTGACTTAAACGAATTCAATATAGCAACAAAAGAGACACACACGCGGGACGTGTGGTATTGACTTTGAGCATCGATCGACCCATTTTCTCGACAGGCCACAGGGCTACACAAATCTCATAAGTCGATTTCCAATTTAGGCGTTCATCTAACATAGTGCTTCGCCGCAACAGCAACCCCGGACAAAACCAGTTCAGTTTTACACACTTTTCAAATTACTTTTGAGGTATTGAGCAACAAACAGAACATAAATCACTTTTTAAGTGCAAGCTGTATAGTTAATATATTACTAGATCTGTCACAAGTCACAATACTCGTATATACGTATAAATCGTGAGAATTGTGCTGTAAACCTAAGTGATGTCAAAGAGGGACTGCGTTTGGAATAAAAAAGGATAACAAAAAAACGCAATGCTCAGTTCCTATAGCCATAACGTATAGTTAGTATGCCTCTGTCGCCATGATGTGTCAGAAAGTAATACAACGGTGTTAGCTTACAAAAGTGTCATACGTCTAGGAAGGGGGGTGCCCCCTGTGCCTACCCCCCCCCCCCTCCCCCCTATATCCGCCACTGCAACTGTTACGATATCCACTCTCTGTCTAGAACAACTCGTAGGTATATTTCTGATAAGCTTCTGGGCTTTATTCGAAATACTTTTTGGTTCACAGTGATCTGATGAATCAATTATAAATTATTACTCAGGCAGAAAAATTGTTAGTGTTGACGTCCTGAATGTTTGCCTTATCTGAAATGTTTGTTCCTTGTTCAATATCAAGAGTAAAATGTACCTTTGTGTTCACTTCAAGAACGGACAGAAAGCAACAAGAATACATACATACACCCGTATGGTTTTGTTCAGTTGCACTCGGCTACTGAGAGTCTTTAGCGCTATGTGAAATATGGTCGTCAATGAGTATTATGGCTTAGCCTAGTCTGCTAGATCACACCTGAATTGAAAATTTTGGAAATTCTGCAGATTACCCAAAGATTTTGTAATCCAACGCACCAAAAATAAAGCTTATAAATAGAGTAACATTAAACCGTGAAAATATATAGGTGTTCGCTTTAGATTTTTTGGGAAAAAGTGCAGTAGTAGTACAAACTCCTGGATGTATGTCCATTTTGACTAAGAGTTTGTCACTTTATCTGCAAAAGTTACCGATATAAAAGCTGCCGAAGTTGACTACTTTTTGAGATTCAAGTTATATATGATATATCAAACTTCTTCATTCAAAAATTTGTGTGGCGTTGAAGATATGGGTCAACTAGAGGGGAGAATATTTTCCAAGTTTTGGCCATATATTTGCCTGTAATTTTTGCTAATAACTTTTTTAGATATCATTTATAATAACGGATTTATTGAGCTATTATACACACCATATATCTCTATACCGTTGGTCTGTCGGATAATCCTTACCCCTCCCCCTCTTTTTCTGAACAGGCCAAAAAAGTATTCCAATACTCCATAGAATCACCCTTTCAATGTTATCCCTATGTTCAGAATACAGGATAGTTTTGAGCGTGGAAGTTTGTAAATCCAGTAGCATAAAAATAACGATACGCGGTTCAAAATCCTATTCTTCGTAATACGAAATTTCATATGATTTTTATGTGCATATAAAAATAAATATAAAAAATGCTGACCATGATCTCTACAAGCGTCACCACGCCTGATCATGAACTTGACTGAATAAATGTGTCGCGATTGGCATTCAAATTACTTTTCCATCTACGAAAGTAGAATGTCTTTACATGGATATGATTCATTTTAATACCTTGTCTTTGAAACTTTACAATTAGCTGGACGCTATAAAATAAAACAAAATATTATAATTATCTGATTTATTAGATTAAGAGAGACTTGATTTCGCGGATAGTTGATAGATTATATAATAAATTAATGTTATTCGGTGATAATTTATGGATAAACTCGTTTTATCTCCGTAAGTGTAATATTATGATTCAGCTAGGTTAGTGATCTTGGGTGTATAGTATATTTATTTGGAGTGACCATGAGTTAACACTCTCCATTGATATTACTAAAATTATTTTAGGTACTTTCGATGCATAAACCAAGTACCAGAGCAAATGTCGATACTTTGGAAGTTCTGGATATTTACGAAAACTCATCCTATATGTACGCTTTGTCATTTACCGATTGGCGACGAAGTATTGTAATCGCGAAAATTTCGAAAATTAGATATGTTTTTTTTGGTGTTCCAAAGGTCTGTCAGTCTGTCCACTAACCCTTGGCCCCTCTATAACTTGGAAGTACTATTCGAATTTTGATGTAGAGCCACTACTATGCCAAGAACAAAAGGTTTTGTAGGCTTTGAAAGCCAATTTAATGGCGGCGGAGCTACGGAAAGAAAAAGAAACAAAAGTTAAAATAATCGCCCAACTTCATTTTTTGGCGTTGCATACTCCTTCTAATTTACATAAATTATTTTGGGAAGGGTGCACTTTTGATATCTGTGAAAGTCGTTCTCTTATTACGAAGCGTCTGATCTCGGTAACATTACGCATAAGTTAGATATCATAGTCATACATACGTTAAAATAAAATTCTGACTGACCCACTGGGTATTCAGACCAGCCAGCACCACTGGCCCATATTTTCATAGTTCGGGGTCAGCCTCACTCCTTCACCCCTTTCCTCCGTCACAACACACACTGGATGTTCCACATCCCACGTAGAACTTCAGCGATTGACAACTCGACAAGTTAACAATTCGGCTAAAATGTGTTCAATGGTGCACTGATACAGAAAGAAGATACCAGCTTGCTTATTTTAACTGAAACGCTCTGTATATATTATTCAGTTCTAAATACAATTTACTCATCATATACCCAAGTGTAACTATTATTTTATCTACGCAAAAATGAAAAATGCATGCCAATAAGTTATAACATTTTTTTATCATATTTTTGTCTTTGCCATACGATTTGTAAAGGTTTTCGTATAGTTAGAGACCCACTTTAGTAGATTTTCTTCAGGTTTAGATAACAACTTATATAAAATTGATCTTATTTTCAATGCTCAATACGATACAATTAAAAAGTAGGTGTTTTCCAGTTGAAAAAATTACATCTTTTTTAAAACCTAATGGTCATCCTGTTTTTTTACCACCTTGTATTATTTGTTACCTAAACCTGAAACAAAATCTTCTAAAGTAGGTTTCCTACTATAAGAAACCCGTGACAAATCATATAACAAAGGCAAAGACGCGGAAAATATGGTTACATTTCATAAACCTGCATTTGTCATTCTTTACGTTGAAAAAAAGCATTTTCGTTGTTGGAGGAACTTTTCTGTCCAACTTCAAATATATAAACATATAAAATAGAACAATAGGTCATAAATGAATGTCACAACTAAAATTCATGAAAAACATCCACACCTCTCAGTTTTTGCAGTATTGCAGCATTATTAGGTATATGCGATTATAGAATTTATGGGATCAAACAGTACAATCAGTAATTATAAACTATGAGAGAACAAAACAAAAATACACTAATAGTAATTATCAAGGAGTGTAAAATTGTCTATAATCAGGAGTTCAAAGAAACATTTCAGCTGTAGAAAGTGTCATGTTCACTTATGATAGCAGTATATTTCATGTATATGTAGGCACATAACGTTTAATTTACCGTGTATACGGAGTATCTTATTTACCTTCCTCTTTCCTGTGAGCAGAATCGAAGAGAACACACATCGATAACATATCTGTGTATATACGTTATATTCATTCCATGGTCATTTGATATTATTGCCATGCAGGTGCATGATTTGTTGATAAATATTTCGATATCATTAAAAGTGCTTACTTGATGTAATCTGTTGTGTACATACTTTACATAGTTCTACATGGGGCTTAAAACGTCAGTACCACTATCAGTTGCCAAGTCAATACTTTAGCTGGAAACCTTCAATGTTATTCATGCCAACAACAATTATGATGGAATCAAAATCAAGGAAAACTGCTGTATATCCTTGGACGTGGAAAAATTATTTGATCGAGGCTACCGAAGGGGCCAAGTGGGGTTCGGCACATTCTGATATTTATGATGTACCTACACATGAAAAGGGGTAAAAAAAAACTATATTGCGGTCAAATTTGGTATACATTCTTAAAAGCACCCCTCTTATTGTTAGTCTATATTCATTAGGGCCGGATTAGATCCATTCTTGGGCGTCAATTATACTTCGAGGTGGCGGTGACAGGTGCCGTACAGGGTTGTCAGATGAGACGAATAGAATCAAGGTATATTATAATGCACCATATTGAAATAGTATTGGCAGTGGATACTTTCACACGATTAAAAATGGCATCAAGTAGGTTGACTCTGCATTTCTCACGCAACGCCGTCATCGTTTCATGAAGGATTATGATCATCATAAGCTAGAGAAAAAAAACAGCCAACGAGATCCGATACGACAACTACATATGCGACGTTGTCAATTGTTGCTGCTTCACAGTCGTCCGACTACGTAGTCGTGCCATAAGTTCTGTCCCATGATAATCTCATGATAAAAATGAAACAAGATAAGATATATTTATATGAAAGATATTATTTATTCGACAACATTTTTAGAATTCATAATCAAACAGTTTTATTCAAAATGTCCCCCCTTGGCCTTCACACACTGCTTCAATCTCGCGGGCCACTCATCTATCACTGCACGCACAGCTTCCAAAGGAATAGCTGCCGCTGATCGGATCAAATCCGCTTTCAGGGACTCGATATTACGGTGGGCTTTGGAGCAGGCCAACTGCTCTAGCAGGTCCCACAACTTGTAGTCTAAAGGATTGAGGTCCGGACTCCCTGAGGGCCAATCTTCCGCAGCAATGAACTCTGGCACATTGCTTTCCAGCCAGCGCTGCGTACTCTTAGCCTTGTGAGCGGGGGCGGAATCCTGCTGGTAGACCCAGTGTTGGTTGGCAAACAATGTACCACTTAAAGGCTTGACGATAGGATCCAGTATGTCGCTCTGATAGTTTGCCGCTTTTGTTTTCACGCCCTGTTTACAGAAATGGAGCTGAGTGACCCCTTCGTAGGACACCCCCCACCAAACCATGACTGACGCAGGGTGGTGGCCTCTCTCAACTCTCGGAATGATCTCCGAAGCTTCCTGTGAACTCCTTGCATACACTTTGTCATTTTGTCGGTTGAATTTTTCTTCTATGGTGAAGATTTTCTCATCCGTGAACAAAATCTTTCGGAATCCCCCAGCTGCGTACCTCTCCAAGAGCTTCTTGGATCTTGTCGCCCTGATGTGTCGCAAGGTGGCCGTAAGTCGCTGGCCCGTACGTCTCCGGTAAGCCCCTAGCCCTAGGTCTTGTTTAATGATGCGCGACATCGTCCGGACAGGAATCTTCATTTCCCTGGATAGGATCTTCTGCTTCCGGAGTGGATTCCTTTGAATCCTGGCTTTTACGGCTTTGATGGCTGCTGGAGTCCTTACTTGACGAGGTCTTCCGCTTCTTGGCCTGTCATCAACAGAGGACGTCTCATTGTACCGCTGAATGGTCCTAGACACAAATTTACGCGATATTTGAAGGCCGCGTAAGAGTTCAAAAATCTGACTAGCACTGTGATTACACTTATGTAAAGCTATCACTGCAATACGGTTCTCTGCCTTGCCCCACTCCATCGTTATGCTTCGAGAGATCAATACAAACTGAGGTATATGTAATTACCCGAAAAGCGCTTAATCAACTGACACCACAATGTAAACAATCGGACAAGTATTAACAGGTCTACACTTGTTTGAAAACGAGGGACAGAACTTATGGCATGACTACGTAGTTGTCATATTGCGTTTTTGCTAAAAATAATCTAATAACAAATCATTTTTCTCATCACATCACGAAAGATATATTACTAAGTATGTACATGGCATATAACCAAAAAAACAATGTCTCATTATCGAAGTTTTTCCGCAATTAGTTTACTTTCTTTCCAGTAGGGCATTATAGTAGCTTTTAACTATAATTAAAAATCAAAACAAGTTGCCTGCATTATTGTATCGCTGGTAGTTGCACCATTGCCCAACAACGCACGAGTAAGCGCAGTTACCTATTTATAAGATAAACTTCTCTACCCGGTCGTAAACTAATATGTTTTTTTAAAACAGAAGAAGGTGCTGAATCCAAGAGGAATACGTTAATCAATGGTATAAGGTATAATGCAACATCCCGATTTCGATTTTTTCGTAACTCAAAGAAATAAATTTATTAAAATATACTGTACTGTATAAATGAGCACTCTTGCATAATGTATTGTCTATTCACTAATTAGTTTTTCTATGGCTGAGAGATTCAGAAAATGAGTTACTTCGGTTGATACACATAAAGTCTATTCAATATTTATCTTCAAGGCCAATAACCTCTTTAATACTTGACAGCTTGTATAATCTATTAGTGGGTAGGTATTCTAGAAAACCGGTATACTGTGAACAATGCAACAACAACAAATGAAAGGTTGCATTTGTTAATTATATTTCAAATATTATATTTATTGTGACAAATTATGTAACATTGCTTTTTATTAGCCTAGTTTAATTACAAGTTGCATTTGTTAGATAAGTTTTATTAGATACTACTTCATTTTATGTTGTAAAAAGATAAATACACTTTATTCTTTTTAGACAAGGTGAAAATCAAGGCTATGCTAAAAACTATTATAATTAGATATTTTTCCTTTATTACCTTCATTGGAGATTCTGTAACAAGAGCCAATATGTGGCCCTCGCCATAAGTGGTCAGACTTTAAAGAAAATCGTTATAAAGATTCATCTATATAATAAAAAAATCATACGTGATTTGTAGTTAGTTAATTAATTTTGTACACAGCAAAGGGTATGTTGAACAACTAGAACCATCCATTTATTTTATCATCTGTTTTCGTTTTACTCTTTTGGTAAAATGAAATAGCTTTTGCAACTTCATCAGTAGTGTAATATTTATTTAATGTCGAAATAAGACCTTGTACTATGAATAAAGTTGCTTAGCTTTCGTTCATTGTCCACAGAGACCATGCCTATACCATGCTAAGGAGTTACCAAATAGCACGAAACAGCTGTCCATGGTTGGCCGTGTGGTCGGACGAACAAATGCTGTATTACTAGTTCATTTAATATTCGTATAGTTATTGTTCTCAAGGTATCTGTGCCACTCAAACCATATGCGATTACTTATCATTAAATGCATTGATCTTATAACGCAGTTCCCAAAAAATCTATTTTAGAACTAGTTCAAAAGATAAACATAATCGATTATAATTATCTAATATCTTCAGATTACAATAATTTAATGGTAATGTAGAACAGTCATTAAAAAAATCAGCTGATAAAGATTGTTTCGTATTTAGAACAAACAACCGGCCAATCTTACAGCGCCTTTAAAAGATAGCCGAACTCAGTATTACACTACATGGCAAGCGAAAGTTGAGACAGAGTAGGCTGCCACCTGTAAGGGATTCTTCAGAGGCTGTCCAGATGGGTTTTTAAAAAGCTTCCTTCTGAAAATCCGGTTTGACCTTAAAATTTGCATATTTAGCATGATTTTGTGTACAATTTTGAGGATTTTTAGGATTTGCCTCCCTCAAAATACTTGGTACTCCACGCTCTTTCAAAAGTTTTGGGGGCAGATACACTTTTACCAAAAGTTATCTCTTGTCGATGTTCGCCTCCCTGAGAAAAATTTCTGCGGACACCCACTGCAAGAGCTGAAAGAAGCTTTTTGAAATTAAAAGTTATTTAAATATCTTAGGACTTATATGAGGGAACTCTGACTACGAAGCATGATACTGTCTTCAGAGGCTGAAGACTTCGAAACATTAAGATCATATTCCGCTATGAATGGTTTAAAAAAAATCGGAAGAAGTAGTGGCAAGAAGATTGACTCGGGACTTTCCAATCATTCACCTATATTCAAATTTTCCATGAGTAAAAATCACTCTTGCTGAAGAAACCGACTGTTTGAGCTCCGTAATATGTTTGTCCTAATCTGAAGCAATCAGAAACGGCGAAAGCAAATTTCGCATTTTTTTTTAAATTGTAACCTCTCCACAAAGATATTTGATTACCCTTAGAAATGCCACCGTTTATGTTTCTTTTGTAAAAATCTTTACTTCAATCTTACCTTCCATTTGGGATTCGCCATAGATGGGTGGGGCCCCCCCTACATATTTTGATATGGAACCCCTCAGAAGCAAGCTACGGCACTGTTGAAAACTGTTATTTTAAGCATACAATTACCGGCTTTAATGTATATACATTTACATGTATGTGTAAGTGTTATTGCTAACAAAAACAAATGTTGTTTAAACAAATCTGAGTTACAAAATCAATTAGATAAGGTCTTGGTCTAGGTTTAAATACAAACATAATTTACTTCTACAATGATTATCAATGATAGCGACTCAGCGTACAAAAGCGCTCGAGTTTGACAACCTTTCAGAACGCTATTTTGAAAGGTGTACTGGAGATATAAAGTACTCATAAGGAGCTTCAAAATGAGGTATCACACGACCCCCCATTTCATTAAAAAAAATATTCCAAACTTATAGCCCAGCAGCCATCTTGACATTTTTGACTACCAATTTTACGCCAAAAAAAGGTCATCAATTTCATTATCCAGAATTTCAGATTTTTGAATTGGCTTGGTAAATAAATAAATAAGGGGGGCCTATGTGGAAAGCACTGTTTTTTTGTGTTCCAGTGTGTTTTATTATAGATTTCAAGTATGAAGTATGCTGACCATGCGCTCATATAAAAATAGTAATTTAAATATTTGAACATTGGCGATTTTTGGACAAATTGTGAACTTTAGGCTTTAAATAATAATCAAGTACTGAGATGAGAAGGAAAATGTTGATGAAAGTTTAAAATAAATGTGTTCTAGAACATTTGAATGTAAAAATTTCATAGTTGCGTTCAACTTGAAATTTGAGTTATTTTTGAAGACCAAAAAACTTGCTTACGGGCCAGTGTCAGGGTCATTTGTTTGACTT